CACTCACTGGCCCCATCACTGGGGTGCTTACAGGACATGGCTTCTGCTTGGGGACCCTCAAGCCTGAGCAGCTTTAAGGAGGAAGGTGAGGGGCTGGGCCCCTCAGAGCCTGAGCCGACACCCTGACCTGGGCCCCACCCCTGTGCCATCAGGTCATCTTCCCGGGTTCAGGGCTGTGGCCCATTCTCTCTGACCTGCATCCATGGCGGTGCTCGTGGGCCAGCTCAGCCCAGCCGTGGTGCTTGCCCCTGGATGGCTCCACTGTGCCAGGGCTCTGAGTCTGGGGTGGGATGAGGGATTGGCAGCCCCAGTGCCTTGTGGGGGACGAGGCTCCTCATGCTGTGTGTGTAGGTGGGTCCCACATCCAATCAGAGGCAGCCATGGTGTTCGGGTCCCCCATCAGAGCAGGGCGGGGTGTCTGTGCCTGACCAATACTGGTTCCAGCAGAGTCATGAACAGGTGTGAGCCCAGACCTGAGAAGGCTAAGTCAGGAGCTGGCCCCTCGCTGGAGAAGGGCTCTACATCGGGCTTGAGAGCCACGGGAGGGGCCGCCAAGGCAGCTTCCCCTAACGTCTGCCAGGATGGGCTGCAGGGGCTCGTGGTTGGGGGTGGGGAAGTGGGCTGTTCCCTGCGCGTCCTCCCACTGCAGGAGTTTCTTGGGAGGACCGTTTTCCCTCCACCTCCCCACACCCCATCATGAGGAGAGTTCAGCTGGTCAGGGGCCAGGGGCAGGTGCGGGTCACAGGCAGGCCCCAGGCTGAGCATTTCTGCCCTGTGGCCCTGTGCTGGGCATCTCACACTCCCAGCCTCAACCAGCCTCTTCTGCATCCTCATAGGTGAGCACCCGGGGTTCCTGTGCCCCTAATAACCCTGTCTTCATTCCTGGGGCACAGGGTGGCCCACCCTCACTTGCACACAGACGCCCCACAGCACGTACTTGTACTGTCAGGCAAGCATAGGCTGGGGTCCCGCCTGGGGCCCAGGCAGGTGCAGCAGACACTAGGTCGAGGCGGTTTTCTTTCAGGCTTCCTGGGGCAGGCTCAGCCCCTGGGAGGCACTGGGCTGGCTGGACAGAGGGCACTGCCAAAGCTGTCGGATGTAGGCCTTTGAGGCTAGAGGGGACCTGGGCCTGTTGGACGGTGGGCCTGGGCCCTGGGCTGAGGCCACACTTGCTGTGTCCTTTCTAGGACAGGTCCCGGAAGAGGAGGCGGGTCAGAACGGACAGAGTCGGGGCCTGCCCAAGGCTGTGTGCATGAATGGCACGGAGTCGGCACAGCTGAGCACCAAACCTTCCCTCCCTACCCGCAAGGCCTGTCCTGCCAGCGGCAAGATCCGCCGGCTGTCGGCCTGCAAGCAGCAGTGAGGGTGGCACCTGCAGGTGGGTCACCGAGTCAGTCACTCTCCCTCCCCTTTGGGCCGTGTAGCAGCCACCATCGGTGGCGCTGTCTGGCGCTGTCCCAGCATCCACAGACTGTTCTGCCATTCACGTCCCCATCTCTAACAGTCGTGCGCATTGCTGTGACCTTTACAGCCATGTTCCGCAGGACACAGGCCACTCAGCTGGCCTGGAGCGTGACAGGCTGCCTCACAAGGCAGGTGCCATCCCAAGGACCCTGCCCAGCTGCACCTGCACCTCTGGCCTGTGCTGGGCCAACGGGACCTGCCCCTGCCCACTCCCCTGGCTGCTCCCAGGAAAGGGGGGTTCTGGACTCGGCCCAGAGGCTTTTGAGGTGGCTGTGGACAGTGGGGAGGCCCCAGGAGGGGCCAGGACAGCTTGACAGCTCTGCCTGGCTGCTCCATGCTCCTAGCTGCCCACCAGGGTCTGGCTCAGTCTGAGGCATTCTCGACATGGCTGGGGCCCTCCTGGTGCTCCCCCAACCTCTGCCTGCCCCAGCCCAGGATATGTTGGAGACCCTGCCACCTGCCGAGGACGTGGGTGGTGGAGTGAGGGCCTGAGACTGCATCCCCTGCCCAACCACATCTCTCTCCCAGGCAGTGGGGGCAGTGACCGAGTTATGCACCAAACAGGCGCCCGCTGCACCAGAGCTGGCCAGGCAGGGGAGCACTTCAGGGGAGGTCGCCATATCTATTCATTCTGGGGAGGACTGGGGGCAGCCTTCTTGGGCTCTCCTCACACCGCCCACCCAGTGGGGGCCCAGGAGTCTGACAGTCCCTGTGTGAGCTGGCCTCAGTTTCCCTATCCTACCAGTGGGCCTGTGGGCGAGGCCTGCCCCTTGGGGATACAGAGTGTCCGGGCACTAGGTACCCAGAGTGACCCGCCCCTGTCCTCTGCCTTCAGCTTGTCTCCAGGAGCCCCAGCCGGGTCCCATGGCCCAGACCTTCCTCTGTCTTCTGCCGACTCCTAGCCCACAGGCCACCCAGGAAGGTTGCCACCATGCAGCTGTGCTGACCGCTGCTCAGGATGTCAGGAGCATCCCAGAGGGCTGGGCAGGGACTGGGGCCCAGCGCTGGCCTCAGCTGCCTGTGCACAGCACTGCCCAGCAGTGGACACACTTGTCGACTCCGTGATCCATGCGGAGCCTTCCCCAGGCGGGGAGGAGGGCCAGGGCCCCGGCCTTCCGATGCACTTTACGTTTAGACTACTGGCGCCCGCCGCGCCCCGCCCTTCAGGGTTTGTTCTCACTCTGCTACGTGTTAGGGCCTCCACCGCTAGGGACAGATCGCAGCCAGACAAGGCCGGTGTGAGGACAGACCTGCTCGCCGCCATGCATGCAGAACCGCCGGAGGGAGCCGCGCGGCCGCCTTACTCTCGTCGTTTGGTTGCTTCATTTTCTTTTTGTCTTTTTTTTTCTTTCTTTTTTTAAGAAAAAATAAAACAGGTGGATTTGAGCTGTGGTTGTGAGGGGTGTTTGGGGATTGCTGGGAGGCTCAGGTGGGTGGCACATGGTTCCCACACCGCAGGGACAGGCCATGGTCCTCCCACCCGGGTCCTTGCCACTTGCAGAAGGTGGACGGTGGGATCCGGCCAGAGCCGTGGCTCGGCTGGACCTTGTGCCTTCTCGGTGGCTTCCCACGGCCAGGCAGGTCTGCACCTGGCTCACCGGCCAGGCCCCGATGGCAGGCCCCCTAACCCTTTCTTCCCCAAGGGCACTGTGCTCTTGGGCAAACGAGAGAAAACCCGGAGCAAACAAGAGTATGCGGTAAATATTTATAATTAACCAGAAAACAAAATCACAAGAAACCCCACCACTGGATGGTGCAGACTGGGCGCGAAGCTTGGAGGGGCGGGACAGGCGACTCGGCCGCGGCGAGGCCTGCCCCATTTTTTGGCAATAAATAAAGCTTGGGAAACTTGAAGTCTTGGCCGTTTGGGTTTTGTTCACGTCTCAAAACACTGATGAGTCCCGGCGGCTCCTCGGGACGATGCGGCCGGCTGCGGGGACGCGGCCGCCGGCATGCGGGGGAGGTGGGCGGGCGGC